CGAAAAAATATTTTCATCCGTAATACCTTAATACTATATTATTAACTTGCTTTTAACATTCGTATTGCTTTTTGCTTGGTTTCTGGGCATATGGGAATACCCGGCAACGGAAAAGCAGATCGTGCCGCAAAGAAAGCTTTATCGCTACCACCTGTTGTTTTTAAACTTATTTTACCGATTTTGAACCATTTATTAAATAAATTTTGAAAAATGAGTGGCAGAAGGATTGGAATACCTATGCCAATAACAAATTGCACTCCGTTAAACCTGTTATCGGTCTCTAGTCTATAGAGACAACCACCGAGACGAAGTTGTCCTTGCCCGTCTTCGGATGGGTCATACATACCTTACACATTCATATATGTTGAAAGGCGAAGATATTCCTTGTTGCAAAGGATGTGATGAGCCATTCACCGTTAAACATTTTGCATTGGACTGTAGGGACCTTCTGTCTACTCGAGTACTTTTTTTATCGCAACATTACATGTCTAAAATCCCTTTTTGAAACTGTTGAGATTTGTAAAATTCTACATTACCTGAATGATGGTGGTTTATATAATAGACCATGACGTACCATTTTAATCTTTTGTGTTAACATACCCATTTAAGATTTTTAACATTTGTCTTTTACCTTTTGGTTTGTTTAACCAACACTATATATCTACACCTCAGTAAGACTGATACTGACATCAACACTGTATATCTGCACCTCAGTAAGACTGACACTGACATCAACACTGTATATCTACAACTCAGTAAGACTGACACTGACATCAACATTGCATATTACACCTCAGTATATACTGACAATGACATCAACACTGTATATCTGCACCTCAGTAAGACTGACATCAACACTATATCTACACCTCAGTAAGACTGACACTGACATCAACACTGTATATCAACACCTCAGTAATACTGACACTGACATCAACACTATATCTACAACTCAGTAAGACTGACACTGACATCAACATTGCATATTACAACTCACTAATACTGACAATGACATCAACACTGTATATCTGCACTTCAGTAAGACTGACAGACATCAACACTGTATATCTACATCTCAGTAATACTGACTGACATCAACACTGTGTATCTACACCTCAGTAAGACTGATGCTGACACTGACATCAACACTGTATATCTACACCTCAGTAAGACTGACAATGACATCAACACTGTATATCTACACCTCAGTAAGACTGACATCAACACTGAATATCTACACCTCAGTAAGACTGACAATGACATCAACACTGTATATCTACACCTCAGTAAGAATAACACTTCACTGACATCAATACTGTGTATCTACACCTCAGTAAGACTGACACTGACATCAACACTGTATATCTACACCTCAGTAAGACTGTTACTGACACCAACACTGCATATTACACCTCAGTAAGACTGACACTGACATCAACACTGTATATCTACACCTCAGTAAGGCTGACACTGACATCAACACTGTATATCTACACCTCAGTAAGACTGACACTGACATCAACGTTATATATTGTGATCTCATTATGGCTTCCACTATATATCTGGACCTCAATTAGGCTAACACCGTTAATTACTTCAACACTGGTTATGTGTTTTTGCTGTGGCGGAAAACAGCCATATATCAGCACGTGCGGTAATTCAACAGAATATCTCTTTAAATTTACTTAAAGATAATGTGCAGAAATAATAATAGCTGTTGAAATAAGCTATTTTACATGTTTTTATGAACATGTTGATGTTTGAAAATTAATAGAATTACTGTTATATCCGATGAAGTTTGGAACTATATTACTGTTAATTTGGTGTCCGTCGTCATGCAAAATTCAGCGTAACGTCAACATCACGTAAATACAGATTGAACAACAAAATTGTTGATGTTTTAATAATCTCATTTTCATCAAATGCTGCACGATAAATAGAATAAATGACTAATGTCTTAAAATATAAGCTGGATTTTACATTATTGGTATTTTATATTGGTACTTTACATTATTGTATATAATTATATATACTGACGGTGATTGTAAATATTTAGAAATTACATAACGTAAATCGTAAATCCAATTTGATATCATTATTAACATTCAATAGTCTTGGTATGTAATTAACTACCCCTTCTCTTGCAGCAAAATTTGTCAGATCAGAAGTATTGATGTAAAAAAAATATTTACAACCCTCTGGTCATGAAGGTGACGTGAAACCACCACCATTTTTTTGTTTCATATCTCAACCCTGGTTTTTATATCCAATAAGGTAAGTGTCTTATAGTACATAAATGTGAAACACTGACAGTGTTGTTTGATGAGCACCACGAGTGTCTGTTGAAGCAGCCAATTTCATCCTCTTCTCTGCGCAATCCCAGGAAAGGTATTTGTCTGTATATATAAAATTAACGATTGATCTATCACTTCAACTTCGACTTAATGATGCATATTCGTAAACGTTTGGTAAATCAAATATTCTAAAGGTTGTGTCCCACACTGATTGGGGAGCCGATAGAAAAGTTTTGCTAAGACTCTATTAGATCAAAATTGGATTACGGTTCCATGGTGTATGGATCTGCTAGACCTTCATATTTAAGATTATGAGACACTGTTCATCACCGATGTGACCGGCTCGCTCTCGGAGCTTTTAAGACCACACCTACAGCTAGTCTCTATGTAGAGGCTATCGAATCATCACTATATAGCTTAAAAATAAATTGGCTTTGGAATACACCATTCAGCTAATGTCAAATACTTCAAATCCTTCTTTTTCCCTGTATTTGATCCAGAATATAAGACCTTTTTTCAAGGCAAACCAAAAACCATTCCATATTTGGTATTCAATTTCCTTTTACAAAACATAAATATTGATGTTAACCAAATTCAGTCATTTGACATCAATTCCACTGTGTATCTAAGATGACTTTTCACTTCTTGAAATGGTTAAATCAGACACAGACAGTTACACCTTTCGCATATTACAAATTGCAGTTAAAATATGAAACATTTCATATTTATATACACTGTTCAAAAGATAATGATAAGGTTGCTGCGGGTATGGTTACACAAGATGAATGAGAGCTGTTACTATTCTGACATCAACACTGTATATCAAAAAATATTTTCACCTAATACCTTAATACTATATTATTAACTTGCTTTTAACATCAACTTTTTGCTTGGTATATCTACAACGGAAAAGCAGTAAGAAAGCTTTATCGCTACCACCTGTTGTTTTTAAACTTATTTTACATTTTGAACCATTTATTAAATAAATTTTGAAAAATGAGTGACAATGAATACATGCAATAACAAATTGCACTGTATATCTGTTATCTTCTAAGACTGACAGACATCAACACTGTATATCATACACACATTCATATATGTTGAAAGGCTATTCCTTGTTGCAAAGACATCAACACTGTATTTTGCATCTACACCTCAGTAAGAATAACACTTCACTGACATCAATACTGTGTATCTACACCTCAGTAAGACTGACACTGACATCAACACTGCATATCTACACCTCAGTAAGACTGACAGTGACATCAACACTGTATATCTACACCTCAGTAAGAATAACACTTCACTGACATCAATACTGTGTATCTACACCTCAGTAAGACTGACACTGACATCAACACTGCATATCTACATCTCAGTAAGACTGACAGTGACATCAACACTGTATATCTACACCTCAGTAAGACTGACATCAACACTGATCTACACCTCAGACATGACAACACTGCAACACCTCATATCTACACCTCAGTAAGACTGACAATGACATCAACACTGTATATCTACACCTCAGTAAGAATAACACTTCACTGACATCAATACTGTGTATCTACACCTCAGTAAGACTGACACTGACATCAACACTGCATATCTACACCTCAGTAAGACTGACAATGACATCAACACTGTATATCTACACCTCAGTAAGAATAACACTTCACTGACATCAATACTGTGTATCTACACCTCAGTAAGACTGACAATGACATCAACACTGTATATCTACACCTCAGTAAGAACAACACTTCACTGACATCAATACTGTGTATCTACACCTCAGTAAGACTGACACTGACATCAACACTGTATATCTACACCTCAGTAAGACTGTTACTGACACCAACACTGCATATTACACCCCAGTAAGGCTGACACTGACATCAACACTGTATATCTGCACCTCAATAAGACTGACACTGACATCAACGTTGTATATTGTGATCTCAGTATGGCTTCCACTATATATCTGGACCTCAATTAGGCTAACACCGTCAATTACTTCAACACTGGTTATGTGTTTTTGAAGTGGCGGAAAACAGCCATATATCAGCACGTGCGGTAATTCAACAGAATAACTCTTTAAATTTACTTAAAGATAATGTGCAGAAATAATAATAGCTGTTGAAATAAGCTATTTTACATGTTTTTATGAACATGTTGATGTTTGAAAATTAATAGAATTACTGTTATATCCGATGAAGTTTGGAACTATATTACTGTTAATTTGGTGTTCGTCGTCATGCAAAATTCAGCTTAACGTCAACATCACGTAAATACAGATTGAACAACAAAATTGTTGATGTTTTAATAATCTCATTTTCATCAAATGCTGCACGATAAATAGAATAAATGACTAATGTCTTAAAATATAAGCTGGATTTTACATTATTGGTATTTTATATTGGTACTTTACATTATTGTATATAATTATATATACTGACGGTGATTGTAAATATTTAGAAGTTACATAACGTAAATCGTAAATCCAATTTGATATCATTATTAACATTCAATAGTCTTGGTATATAATTAACTACCCCTTCTCTTGCAGCAAAATTTGTCAGATCAGAAGTATTGATGTAAAAAAATATTTACAACCCTCTGGTCATGAAGGTGACGTGAAACCACCACCATTTTTTGTTTCATATCTCAACCCTGGTTTTTATATCCAATAAGGTAAGTGTCTTACAGTACATAAATGTGAAACACTGACAGTGTTGTTTGATGAGCACCACGAGTGTCTGTTGAAGCAGCCAATTTCATCCTCTTCTCTGCGCAATCCCAGGAAAGGTATTTGTCTGTATATATAAAGATTAACGATTGATCTATCACTTTAACTTCGACTTAATGATGCATATTCGTAAACGTTTGGTAAATCAATAAAGGAAATGATATATTATAACTTATAAATATATTTGTATCGTTGTCTTTGACAGGGTACATAACATTGATGACGAGATTTATGAAGACGAAAGAACTGTCTGATGCAGTGGAATTTATTGCTTGGCTAAACTGTATCTCACTCAAAAGGGTTTTCACACAATAATTAAGAACATTTTATTTAATGTGATTTGATGTATATATATATATACTTTAAAAAGATAAAAAAAAACTTTGTGTATCGTATATACAGAGAATATATATACCAAAGAATGATTAAATTGGAAACACTTCTGAATAGGAAAACATAAACACTTTATATCAAATCGTCAGACGTTTCATAATTAGATTTACTGTCTCGGTAGGTCTACATAGTTCTTTTACTTCTATGATGTACATATTGAAATGTGGCTAGCTAAGATTTGGTTACAAATTTTGACTTCCTCAGATAATCTTAGGGATATCAGCCAACAAAATGTAAAAGGTTCATTCGACAGATATGGCGGTATGAGGCATTTAAATGTAGTAACTTCGATCTTGGTAACAACGAATTTATATTTACTATGGATAAGCGAAAAACCGTACACATGATATTAACATTTCTCATTCTACAAAACATATTGCATGTATCCTTTACCTTTTAAGATCGTTGATTCCAATACATATTCACTTCGTCCTGAAGTTTTCAGTTTTAAGAAGAAAAATCTTGAATCAGCTGACCGTAGTGATGTCATCGCTGTAATGTCATTCAAGTCATCTTGTGAAGACTTTGTCTAAAGCGAAAAATATAATAAGACTAGTTCATACTTTAAATACATGTATATAGAACCATCAAGCGAAGTTAAGTAGTGGTCATATCGGTAGAGAAGGGAAATGGGAGCAGACCTTCTGACATATACACTTAATCTTTTCTCATATCAACATTTTCCTAAACTTGACCTCGATTTTTACTTTTAGTTTTCGATGTAACAGTGTAACTTTCTATAATGATAAGCTAAGCTTTTGTTTTTAGGGATTCCGTTGTTAAGAACTTTGAGCATAGTGTTTATACTACTTTACTAATACATGATATGTGAATTTCGCAACCATATCGACAATATTTCTAAGAACCATTTTTTTAATATATTGGTTCATCAATAAAAACTTACCGTAAAACCTACAGACGAGCAGTTCAGCACGGATACGTACTTTCCTGTTTTTATCGACTGCAGAACACAAGGGAAACAACTTTGATTTTCACTGTTACTCTTTTCAAAGCCATGAAATAGCCTTCTTCGGAAATGATCTGAAGAAAACGACGAGGATTTTGATAAGTTGCAATTTATTTCCATTCATATGTAGTTACTTTTATTTCAGTAGATAAAATATGTTTTTGATATCGTATTGGTAGGGGTTACTTTACAATTTGATGATATAGTTATTTATTTATAGAATACTATTTTTATTTATAAAATAACTTCCTTTGTACAGAAAATCACGAAATTGAAAAATGTTAATCAATTCGGTATTTTATTAACTAAAGATCAATGAAACGATACCAAATATTGATTTGGTATCCCCCCTACCCGTTGGAGGCAACACCCACTAATCCTAAATGCCGAGATACCGTGATTCCTTTAGACTTACAAATTCCACTTAGATAGACAGGTCTATTTATAATACAAACCACGACTGAATGTGAGATCGACCCAGCTGCAAAGTCAGGTCCATTTAAAATACAACCATCCCCTTTCATCCCCTCCAGGTAGTGAGGATAATTTAAACTACATAGGTTAGATTCTCTTAGATAGCGAAGTCCTTTTATACTAAAAATACCACAGTGATAATGAGGTCATTCATACTTTAACTTAGGTAGCAAGAACCATTTGTATAGCATTTCCACATTAATCCGTTACTTAAACACGACTAAACTTCGCCTAGTAAGTGAGATCCATTCATACCATAAATCCTACCTTGTTGGTGAGTTCCAATCATACAATAAATCCCACCTTGTTAGTGAGATCTATTCATACTACAAACCCTACCTTGTTAGTTAGATCCATTCATACTACAAATCCTACCTTGTTGGTGAGATCCATTCATACAATAAATCCCACCATGTTAGTGAGATCCATTCATACAATAAATCCCACCTTGTTAGTGAGATCCATTCATACAATAAATCCCACCTTGTTAGTGAGATCCATTCATACAATAAATCCCACCTTGTTAGTGAGATCCATTCATACAATAAATCCCACCTTGTTAGTGAGATCCATTCATACAATAAATCCCACCTTGTTAGTGAGATCCATTCATACTACAAATTCTACCTTGTTAGTGAGATCCATTCATACAATAAATCCCACCTTGTTAGTGAGATCCATTCATACAATAAATCCCACCTTGTTAGTGAGATCCATTCATACTACAAATTCCACCTTGTTAGTAAGATCCATTCATACTGCAAATCCTACCTTGTTAGTGAGATCCATTCATACTACAAATCCCACCTTGTTAGTAAGATCCATTCATACTGCAAAACCTACCTTGTTGGTGAGATCCATTCATACAATAAATCCCACCTTGTTAGTGAGATCCATTCATACAATAAATCCCACCTTGTTAGTGAGATCCATTCATACTACAAATTCTACCATGTTAGTGAGATCCATTCATACAATAAATCCAATCTTGTTAGTGGGATCCATTCATACAATAAATCCTACGTAGTTAGTGAGATCCATTCATACTACAAATTCCACCATGTTAGTGAGATCCATTCATACAATAAATCCCACCTTGTTAGTGAGATCCATTCATACTACAAATTCCACCTTGTTAGTAAGATCCATGCAAATCCTACCTTGTTAGTGAGATCCATTCATACTACAAATCCTACCTTGTTGGTGAGATCCAATCATACAATAAAATCCTACCTTGTTGGTGAGATCCAATCATACAATAAAATCCCACCTTGTTGGTGAGATCCATTCATACAATTAAATCCCACCTTGTTGGTGAGATCCAATCATACAATAAAATCCCATCTTGTTAGTGAGATCCATTCATACTACAAATCCTACCTTGTTGGTGAGTTCAAATCATACAATAAATCCTACGTAGTTAGTGAGATCCATTCATACTACAAACCCCACCTTGTTAGTAAGATCCATTCATACTGCAAATCCTACCTTGTTAGTGAGATCCATTCATACTACAAATCCTACCTTGTTGGTGAGATCCAATCATACAATAAAATCCCACCTTGTTGGTGAGATCCAATCATACAATAAAATCCTACCTTGTTGGTGAGATCCATTCATACTATAAATCCCATCTTGCCAGTGAGATCCATTCATACTACAAATCCTACCTTGTTGGTGAGATCCAATCATACAATAAAATCCCACCTTGTTGGTGAGATCCAATCATACAATAAAATCCCACCTTGTTGGTGAGATCCATTCATACAATAAATCCAATCTTGTTAGTGATATCCATTCATACTACAAATCCTACCTTGTTAGTAAGATCCATTCATACTTCAAATGCCACCTTGTCGATAAGATCCATTCATACTACAAATACTACCTTGTTAGTGAGATCCATTTATATTACAAATCCTGCCTAAGTAGTGAGATTCATTTATACTGCAAATACTACCTAGTAATTGAGACTAATTTATACTACAAATATCAATTAGTTAATGAGACCCATTCATACTACAAAATTCCGAATAGATACCATTGCCCATATGACCTTCAAATCTTATTTAGACTGTGCCCATTATCTATATCATAAAACCTAGTTAATATTTGCTGGAAATATGCTAAAGGACTATCGGTTATAAGACATGGTTACCAGGATGATTCTTAGTGACATACATGCTGTATCGGTCCGAGAAGGTAGATTATCCATTGTTAATGTTCCGTCCGTCTCACATTTCAAGTATACCTTGGACATGAGAGTATCTACTGATACCAGACAATCATCAGTCCCCGTGATCTGCATACAGTACACAGAAGTAAAAGTGAATGAGCTCAGAAATCTTTTTTTGCACGAGCTGATCATTGATGTTGGGCCTGTCAAACAAAATCAATTAATGTTGAAATATGACGAGTATTAGTCATCTCATACTTTCTGTTCCAATTCATTTTAAGGAGTTAACAAACAAATTAAAGTTATCCTTTTCTCTGCTATAAGGATCTTTCTTTTCCATTTATTCTTAAAATGCATATATCTACACTCGAGTTCTATATTGGTATCATGTTGATAAATTAAGATATTTGTTTTAGCGTAATAACTCTGATTAGATGAATTTATCGCTTGGTGACAAATTTTATGACACTGAGGTTTAATATAATCGATTAGAATCGTTTGCCATAGAAGCAAGATCTACCTTTCCAAACAATTTTATGGCACTGTAATACAACTGGAAGTGTACGACATCATGATAATGTGCTGTTAATGATATCAACATGGAAACAATAGTAACCTACCATCAATCATAATCTATCTACAACAATAAAGCAAAAATTGACAAGTCGAGCTAATCCTTATTAAGGATATTGCGTGACATTCTTAGTGACCTCACTGCGAAATAATATATTCCTTGGTGCGATATGAAACTGGACGTTTTTAATAGCCATTAGTTTTGCCTGTTGGCACTGGTGTTGTATACCTTGTCCTCATTTGAGAATATTACTTTAGTTACTTCGGATTGACAAATATTTACAAAGTGTGTGTCATCGATGAAGCAGAAGACAGTTACTCTTCCGGAACACCTGGTCTTATCTCTGTGTGCGTATTTCTATTGCCATATTTAGTTTTATTAAATGTTTTATTATGTTCGTTTGTTTTTTTATTTTCTTGTTATTTTTCATACTCACACGCGATGAAAATAGTTCAAAATATTCGGAACATTGAGACGCCAGATAAAATGCAAGGAGCAGGTTTCTAACTACGGCCATTACACTTATTCATATTACGGAAGTTTGCAGTAATAACAGGGACGATTAGTTATGAATTAATTTATTATTTGATTTGTTAGTATGTCTTTTTTCTATTTCATTGCCTCCGCTAGCATTTGAACACAAAACCTCTTGCTTTCTAGTCCAGACAAAAGAGAACCCTATGGCCAAGAAGTATTTTGCTTCTTATATTAACCAGTGTTACACTATGTTTTAAATGCAAATTGTATCACACCATTTTATACGGAAACCAGTGTTAAATATAACTCTCACATCCATACCTCGTGGATAGAAAAAATCCACTTCTATTTCAATGACGGTCACGGTGCAATTCTTGGCATCAACCTGCTCTTGCCTTTCAATTACCTGAAGTTAAAACCAGTTTCAAATTAAAATTTTGATATTAGAAATATAAAACCTGTCCGTTTTGAACAGAAAATTGACTTTCAAAAAGTGAAAAATTAGTACTTAACTGACTAATCTTGTAAGCTAAAACGGCATGCTTATTTTAATTTTTAGGAAAGGCAAACATCCCCAAGAAAGAAAGAAAAGAAAGGAGATAATGGGAGATGGATATATAGCAGGTATGACCAAAACATAAATATTTACATTTCCCTGTATATCTATACATAATATCAATTTTCAAAACAATGCATCAGTTTGATAAAGAAGACATGAATACAATAGCCGTAAAAACAAAAAAAAAGAGAAAATGTCAACATGTCAACATAATCATAATCCAATCTCAAATTCAATAAAACTAGGGCATGATATGAAAAAAGACAGATTTACACGAAAGCTCCTGGAAATCTAAAACAAAATTTGATAAAGAGAAATGTACACGAAGATAAGTCAGATGTTCCGGAACAGCAAGCATCCTATGTTTCATCAACGACACCCACCAAGTGAATAAAGTCACGTTCTCAAATATGAAAACAAGGTAGGCAGCAACGGAATTAACAGACAAACTAATGTAAGAAAGCGGTTTTGTGTTCATTGTTACAGGTGTGTTTGCCTTTTATAAGAAGACCTTTAAACCAATCCTAAGCTAACAATTTCTTAAGAAAGCACTACAAGGGCGGGGGATAAGGTTTTAGAAATTATAGATAGATTTTGTTTAGTACATATTTATAGAGAGCATCATACTGATACAAGAAGATATACCTGGAGAAAGAAGAACCCATTGAAGCAAGCACGTTTAGATTTCTTTTTAGTTTCAGAATGTTTGTTGGGTGGCATTAATAATGTAGGTATAGATGCAGGATACAGATCGGACCACTCTTCTCCTAAAATTTCCTTAAAATTTAATGTATTTAAGAGGGGAAAGGGGCTGTGGAAGTTTAATAACTCTCTTCTATCAGATAGAGACTACCTTGGCATTATTAATAAAACTATTGCTAGAGTTAAATTACAGTATTCTCTACTTATTTATAATATTAATAGGTTATTGGAAATCCCAAATGATTTGATTCAGTTTACAATTATGATAAACTTTTAGATACTCTTCTGATGGAAATAAGAGGGGAAACTATTTCTTACACATCACATAAGAAAAAACAACAAAACATTAGAGAATTGGAAATAATAAAAGTAATACAAAATTTGGAAGACAGGGATAGTGTAGATATTGAAGAACTAAATGAGAAAAAAACAGAGCTAGAAAATATTCGACTACATAAGATTAAGGGAAGTATTGTAAGATCAAGAGCTAAATGGTTAGAAGAAGGAGAAAAGCCTACCAAGTATTTTTTTAACCTAGAGAGTAGAAACTTTACATCTAAAGTTATTTATAAATTAGAAAAAGAAAATGGGGATATTGTTATAAATCAAACAGAGATTCTTGAAGAAGTTAAATTATTTTATGAAAAAAATATACAGCAGAGATTAACATAGATGATATTGATCTTGAGGAGTGTTAAGAAAAGTTTCAAGTTCCTAAATTGAATAGGTTAGAATCGAATAATTTAGAAGGTTATATAACACTTGACGAAGCCTCTGCGACATTGAGAAATATGAAGCATAATAAAAGCCCAGGATCTGATGGTTTCACTACTGAATTTTTAAAATGTTTTTGGAGACAACTTGGTGATTTTGTAGTTAGATTTATTAATTTTGGTTATGAAATAGGCCAACTTTCTATTGTTCAAAGACAGGGTGTCATTACTTGTATACCAAAAGATAATAAACCTAGACACTTCATCAAAAACTGGCGCCCTCGGTTTCTCTTAATAAGGTAATATATGTGTATTTTTTATCAATGTTGCAAGCTAGTGTACATGTGAGCTGTGTGATGTCTGAGTGAATATGTTATGCTATGAATGTAATCAATACCATATATTGCTGAAAATTCTGAATAAAAAGAAAATCAAAAAAAGCAAAAAAAAATTTAAAAAAAGAAAGCACTACATGCCTTTGATGCCAAGAAGTAAACGTTTTTTAGACGACGCTGTCATATAAATACATATAATGCATTGCAAATCCTCACAAGAATACAGCCAAAACACTTACCAATGTCAATCTGTTTCGTTCTTGGTCAAACATATGCATGATGAAGTCCTCTACCAGGTCACATGCCCAGCTTCTGATATCGACATTGTGAATGGCTAGGAGTTTGTCATTGCCCCTGAAATACAATTAGAAGGTGAAAGAATTTAACGGACATTTAAGGTTAAGGTGGGGTTTCAAATTGGCTTAAGCAGCACATACAACAGCTTGTATATGCTATTGGTAGTCTCTGCAGTTGTATGATTCAGATGGTCATTTAAGTTCAAACATGTGCATACACAAGGATATAGCGCCCTTTTTTGTGTTAAAAACGAAAAAAATGTATGGTTTTCTTTCGGAAATTCTGTAAATTCATTTCCTCTGTTTTGTTTAAAGAAAATTAAATATGAACGTGCTAATAATAAGATGTTAGATATCATATACAGTACAGTAAAACTCACTTGTGTCGAACACGCATGAGTCGAATACATCGGATGAGTCGAACGTTTCGTTCGGTCCCGATTTTTTCTCCTCTTTATCTTAGTAAATTAAACACGGATGAATCGCACACTGTTGAATCGAATACTGTGGTTGTGTCGAATATATTTTGTGGTCCGTCCCTTCTAAATCGTACAAAAAATTCCATGTTTGTGTCGAACATTCAGACGCCACGTTGCCTCAGGTAAATTTTCCTGGTCTGTACCGAGTGTGATCGGTCAACCGTAACGGTGTCAACAGGCCTATATGCACAATGTAATTTCAGGGTATCGATACACCTAACCCTTTTGTTTATACAGGTGCACAGGTAAATATCTCATTTTACCAAGAACTATGCGATCAAACAGCCATTGAAATAAAACATCTCATGTTTACTTTTTGCACTTGAGTTGTTATTTTATTTGAGTGAAAATGTCAACATTTGAGTGGAAGTGTCGAAAGGGGCTATAAATTAGGGTGAAAATTCGGGATTTGTCATTCATTCCACACTCTCAATCATGAGTTCAAATGAGCAATCGAGTAAAGGACCCAGGTCATCCGGGGGATAACTGGATCATTTGAGAGGAATGCGGAAGAAAGAAGAGGACAGAAGAGGAAGCTTGATGTGAAAGATACGTGTTTGTAACAATGAAGATTACAGTAACTGTCATTAACCTACGATTTATTTGTGTTTTAATAAAAAACAATTATTATAAAATATACATGTTGTCTTGTTCTTTTCATTAACACCTTGCTATCAGACACGATCGGAGAAAATAGGGTCAGTTTCAAAAATACGATGTCTCGATTACAGACGATAGACGAAAACACTGTCGAACCATCGGATAAGTCGAATGTTTTACTTGGTCCCATCGACTTCGACTTATCCTAGGTTTGCTGTATACAAAGTAAGAAGTCACAGATTAGAATACATTGGGAACAGGAGGTAAAAATATGATAGATTTTGATATAGAACATGTTCCGTTTACATTAAGCGAAATTTTCTGAAGGAAAAACGAGGGAAAATCTTATTTGGATTGAAGTATTGTGATGTGAACTCGATATAAAATGTTTACACTTGGTTTTATTAGTACAAAGGGACTGTCACCTACTCTAATAACGCATTACATGAAATTTCAACATTCAACACGGCCGTCATCGCCTAACCAACCTAATTAATTAAAACGCAAAATGTCTATACATGTGTAAACAATCTACTCACATCAACTGTAAAGCGGAGAGAAAATCATTTTTAGGATCCAGCACTACAATTCTGAATCCAGATTCACACTTCAACAGCTGAAATCCAGCCTCGACTAACTGTCCTGAATTTGCCCTTATCACAATGCCGGACCTGGTCTCGTCTATCGTATCCTTCAACAGAAAGTTAGATATAGGTTTTATATTTGTAAGGGATACATTTACTACAACAATGGTATTGTATGTAGGTGATCAAGTGGAAAGAGATTGTAGAAAATGTCATCAGATAACGGTTAGATTGTCATATATATTACGTACTTAAGTTAATCTATATATGATGCTTGACAACCCAGTTATCACTAAAGATATAACGCAGGCATGTCTAAGTATGCAGTGTTTTGTAATAAGATATGTATCTATGTCACTACAATTATTTATACCCGTCATATTATTATTTTTTAGAAAGAGGAAGATTAGCTGATTGTACTTCAGGTTTACATTATATCACACTACTGGTTAAGGATCAGGATTCGGATTTTTTGTTTATATTGAAGAATATGTTATTGCTTGCTTATCCAGCTGTTCTTGCAATTATCAAGACAAATTTTATTGCCATTTTAGCGCCAGCAAAGTTAGTCTGAGCTGATGTAATGTGGATTTTACAGGAATCCACATAACGTTTGAACATCTGTTCTTGAAAATAATTTATTTTATAAACACTTTGATTTTTCCAATCTGTCTGCTACCCATACCATATTCCAACCTGGTCCTGTTATGGAAATATTGTTTTCATATGAAATTTGGAACACAGGATTTATTCTTACTTTCGAGATACTCAGTCTTTCCTTCGTTTATGATTTGTTTGATAGATTTCGAATTAAAAAGTTGTTAACAGGTCGTTCTTATCATGTGGCATACTTGCCAAAAATCCTTTTATCAAATGTCACTTTTCAGACACACTGATTCAAACGCATATTTACGTCACTTAATGTTCCCATTTATTAAAGGTTTTATAGAGAAGTTATCGCTCAAATACTTTCATTCATGATTGATTTCACTGTGATTGGTTTTCTTCAAAGAAACTCTATAAACTCTTCCATCAAATACATGCTGACGTGTATTTGTCTGAACATTTCAATTTTTCAATGCATTTCAACTTCCTTAAATACTGTATCCTTTATACTGTTTTGGCCTGCTTGATTTTCACCCTTGAGTCGGGTCACATCAGTGTAACAACTTTCCGCCCCATCTTAAATGAAAATTTTCCAATATACAGTACTTTTCTTACATTGAGAATGGGTATTTTACCTTCTCATGAAAGTCTGTTTCTAGTCAGATGTCTTACCTTTTTCTTTGAATCCAGGTGTACATCGTTGTAATCCAACAGACTTCGTTGTGAAATTGTATCCATTTCTGAAAATGTCAAAGTTTCACAAGTATGATGCAAGAGTGTACACAATGTACAATATTGTAATACAGCATTCCAAGAAAGATTAGGGATAGAAAAGAGTATGTATGATCACGTGTTTCTCCTTGTCCAACACGAATGCCCAATCCAATTCATAAAGTTTATATACTTTGGAAACACCTGTCGATGTAAATGGTGTTAGACAAATACATCCGCAAGGGAGCAGAAAATAAAGGAAGTGATGAGTCATAAAGATGTTTTCTCTGGTAAATCTTCCGCCTACAACACCTAGCTTGAACACATTTATATCAATGCTTACACGTATATAAATCCGAACTGTCCCCTAGCTTGGTAAATATGTTTGAAACAGTGACGTATCTCAACAATGAAATAACATCCCTACAGTGTCAATAAAAACATGAAGGCTAACGAATATCAAGTATAAACGCGACATAAGAAACTTATTTCAAAGTTTCTATGCGAGACAAGTCATAAAATAGGGAAAAATTGTGTGTCATTATCTATATTATAATACAATGGTATCATTTTCCCCTCGTGATAGTTGAGATAGATATACATTAAAATGCTGTATAAGTATACAATGTTTGGGGAAACTGAAATCGTTAATTTGTGGTTCGTTTTACCTAAAGACATGTTATATAAACTTTGAAAAAGAGAAACTTAGCACAACTGCATTTATTTTTCTAGTGATAAATGATCGATATAAAATCAATTATTGCATCTAATTTTGTCTATGCTCAGTCAGTATAACCATAGAAAGATGTATTTCACTCTTATCTTTTTATCTTGATAAATATCTTAAGCAACTCCCACTTGCTACATGTCATTGTGATGATTATAATCATGTTTCATGCTAGTCAATAACAAGTAGATGTTTAATAACTACCAACATATCTCATCAGTGTTTATAAATTGTCAGCATTTTTCATATTCATCCACACTTCTTACATACCGGACTCCTTTTCATATATGTTATATAACACTCGAGGTTTTGTAAATATCTTTAGCAAGTTCATAGATTTCAAATAATCTTTTTTGTTTTAAGAATCGATAAATTATCAGGCGATGATAATGGCAAAAGCTAAAAAAGAAATACTTACTTGTTCAGATTGCTTCCTGATGTATTGCGCTTACCCGTGCTTTAATGAACTTAAATATTGAGGTTTATAACCTGATGCCTCTGACCCCAGGGGTCATATCCACTATACACATTCACCTGTGATTGGTAGCATGCAATTTACACCTGTTTGTTGTCAATGATTGGGTGGGTGAGTAGTTTCCTTATCGTCAACATAATACAGCGGTGTCCTATTCACAGACTTTTTTTTCCAAATCAGTGATATCTTATTTAATAGGATTCTCGATTACCTAATAAAACGTATACAGTACTGATTGTCGTTTCAGAACAGCTTTTCTTCCTTATTTTTATGAAATTTGATTAAACTAAGGCAAACTACAAAAATGCAGTCTTCCTGTGACGACCATAAAACACTGTTTAAATTCTCCTTTATCTAGAAGTTTCATACCATGTTTTATCGTAACCTACACTTTAAGTTGTAGGCTTTCTATTATATATCCTCGATTATACTTTATTATACATTTAGTCTCCGAGGGTCTATATCAGAGCCCCAATATGCAGGCCACGTTTAAATCTATTCGAACGATGCAGAAATGCACATTTATGTCGAGTTTATCCGGCAGATAGATATACGAAATTTATCTTATTACTTGCACTTTAGATTTTTGTCATTTTATTCGTCAAACACTGAATTTCTTCTTTGACCTTGTAGATATCTATATTTAGGCTCTTATCATCACTGTTGAGCCCTAGACATCTGGCATTAATGTATCTAATTCTAAATTTAGATTGAAAGGAATATCGGAAACGTCGTCAGGCAGGCTATTTGTTAAAATGACGGAAGGACATTCAAAAGGTTCAACTTCCCTAAAGGAACTACTTTACATAATATGTGTCAGCAATGGTATGTCGTAAATATTGACATCCTAACATGATCACCACCTATCTGTTTACTTTGTTGACGTCATGAACAATAAACACTGATCTAAGGCCGAGGAATAAGATAAATTTTCATGTTTCCTGACCTTGAAGATACATTATCAAATTGAACTGTTGTGGAAAAGGGGGAAATATTTATCCAAATATGAGAGTTCGTGATATGTTTACATCGTGTCTTGGTGGTCTATTATATGACAAAAATGCAATAGAATTTTTAAGACAATCTTCTCCCAAATTAATTTGTGTTTTCCTAACAGAAGCATCAGATATTGTTCACCCCTTATTCCCATTAACAGAGTTTGTAGGAATGACTTGTTAATTTATTGGAAATCGTAATTCACTCTCATGAATTTCACTCCGAGAATTTAAATAATAAACATGGAAACAAAACTGCTACTTAATATTTTCAATGCAAGATTTCACTACATCTAAATATTCGGATTCATTATAAATTCATTCAAATTTACGGTTATAAAGTATTCTCATTTCCAAAACTGTCTTTTGCATCAGTAATTTGATTATAAAAGTTGTTCGGCCAATAAAGGGAGATCATTGTTGTTCTAGACTCGTCGATATCGATATGACGAGCAATAAAGTGAAAGCACTTCTTAATACATGGAAAGACTGAGTTTAACTCAAATAGGTAAAATCAATGTCATGAAATCACAATTTTACAATTGAAAGATACCTTGATTTAGCAAGCCAACTCTATTAATCGACTTCATATGAAATAGTAAATTCCTTGAAATAATAAGTGATGTTATTATTCAAAACTATACAGATGCTGGTTTTAAAATGGTTGATTTACATGCATTCATTCACCTTAGCACGTTTGGGTGAGAAGAATAGTTCAGTCATCTGGTTAATGGAATCTGATTCTTAGGTCAACTATTGATGTTTAACTGTGGGAAAGAATATATCAGTTTATGTGGAATGTACTGTCGCAACTTATTTTGGAAAAATGTTTTTAAATCTTTGGAGTATTCTGAACAACTCTGAATCCATGAGAATTGCTCAACAAAGTTCTATCCTGAAAATAGCTCTTTTGTATAACAAAGAAATCCAGTTTAATAATTCGTTTGGTTTTTTTTTATCCAAACTGGTCTAGGGCTGGAGATGTTCATACATTTGACGATTTGCTGCACCATTTCCAAATTAATACCAACTTTCTTCATTAACATGGGCTAGTGACAAGGTTTCAGGAAAATTAGAATTTCATTTAGAAAAACATTCACAACACATTATACTGCTTATTTTTGAAATATTTTTTTCAAGAAAAGAAGAGGTTCCAAAGATTTTTATAACTGTATTTATTACACCACTGTCAATATCTACTGGAACAAGACAATGGAACCAAGAGTTTGATATCAATATGGAAAGTGATAAAAATATACCTTATACAATAACCATTAATTCTAAGTTACAGTGGTTCCAAGTTAGAATAATACATCATATGTTGGATACCAATACATTTCTATATAAAGTATAACTACACCCTAACCCACTAGGTACTTTTTGCAATGTGGAAATTGAAACTATTGTCTATGGGAATGTAGGGAGGGTCAAGCTTATCTTCAGAGATTTGTAAGCGTGTTTTATTTATTTTTAATTCCGTTTGCTTAAATAAGAATTCCTTTCTTTTTGGAATATTCTCAAAACGTTGTAGCTATGTGAATAATAATAATTAATAATTATCAAGCACAACAAATGTAGATGTCTTACAAATCCTTGAATCTTAATGTCCTCATAAATGCCATCAAAATTTTTTTTTGGTAGAAAAAATTGTTATTAGCAAAAAACGAAGAAGTCAAAAGGCAAATGGAAACCTAATAGAAATACATAGGATAGTTCTTTCTCTCATATCCCGCCATATTGGATAGAGTTTGCCCATATAAGATAGCTATGTAAGAAAATTCTATCTTACATGGGCAAACACGTGCGCGGAGTAACTGTGTTCAGGGGAAACAACTCTTACAGCGTCACGGGTCATAAAAACACACAGTCGCTGAATAATTACAGGACACTGAATGACAGACAGAAGTACATGATTTCCAATATGTTGTCAAACACAAAACGCTCCGAATTAATTCCCTCAAACCGAACACCATTCTCTGCCACCATTTCATCAACTTCAACAGTTACTAGGCCTACGTATGATGTCACAGTGTGTTTACCATTGTCATCACAACAAGAAAACACGTTTAACACCTAAAATCCTGTGTCACAGAAACAATCTGAAACTCGCATCGAATCCTTGTTTGCTGGTTCTCACATTGAAAATTGCCAAATCACCGTAAATATCACCACAAATGTTCCACCACCCAAACGTCGTCGAATCATGGTGATCGAGAGCGACAGCGACTCGGAATAGAAGATCGTGTGACGTCACGCCTTGAATTTATGAATGGAATTCCTGTGACTATGGTGACGTCATGTCAGCGTCACAATATTTTGAAAAAATGTTAAAACAGTAAAAAGATACATTGATATATTTCTTAAAATGATCAAATATGTTATTGTTGATGATAAACCTATATGTTCAATTATAAAAATCCGTTCCTTGTTGATTTCTTTGAAGTATTTGGCGGAGCAATTTCTTTTCGCGGATGTTTACGTACACATACTATATAATCACACAGAGATCATTTTTGGTTTTTTTTTCATCTACGAATAATATATTCATCCTGCAATATACCGAAAAATGGTTTGAAATTTGACAGCAAACTAAAAGTTTGTAAAATATGGGTATGATCGTTAAGAATATCCAGTTCGTTTTTTATAAAAAAAAAACTTGGATTTAAAAAAAATAAAAAAAAATGAAGATAATGGCCGTCCGACAGTCCTTTTCCCAAACTTTTGGTAAAGATATGAGAGAAAAAGACTCTTTCATTATGTGTGTATGTAGGATAGGGATATTCCACCTCCGAGGGTCACAAAATATGGTAAAACCCTCGTACATACCCGTATATAAAAGAGTCTTATAATAATTAATTATTATTATTATTGCATTGTTCGTTATATTTATTTTGCGAACTGTATAGCCTTGACCTCGCTGAGTCAAATAAATATGTTATAAGGTCCATACAAGTCACAAGATATTGACAAATATGTTTAATATAAAATCAGTCATCAGGTATTCCATGTAAATCTTCTGAAAATAAAAAAAATATATAAATATACGTCCATTTTTTAAACTGACGTTTTATCTAGATCATAAATATTCGCTGGTGTACGAAGGAGAGGAAGAGAAATCATTTGATATAAGTTAACACAATGTGTCAGTATACTTATAGATACTTATGTGTAGTGTTGTAAAATGTTTACTTATGACGGAAGATGACATTCACAACATAAGTGCTCTAACACGATCGATAAAAGTCGCACACATACACAAACATACTTTGTAAATATGTGCAGAGGGATTTGGAAATCACACAGGTCTATAAATAGAATCAGTATGACTGTAGCACTTTTAGGGACACTCCAAGGATTTTACATCCACGCTTGGTAAGTTTAAAGTTATATACAAGAGAAAACTTATTTCTTAGATCGGAAATCGTACAAATCCTATTAAGCATGTCCATGTTGTAAATAGCCACTATTAACAGTAAGTGTTAGAGAGAAGATTATGTAATTATAGGCCTGTTAACCTATGTACGGTAGAAATGGAGGCTATTTGATTCCGTGATGACTCATGTGTTGATATCGTGCTAGGGCATGGGTTGTGGGTTGTTTTCGGTCGACACCAGACGATATATAGTCTCCTAGATTTATTAATGTATTAAATTACGTGACGGGATATGTTAACCTAATACTTTTACAACAGAACCCAGTAATGAATGCCGTTCGTCCTACAGGCTCGAATATAAGGGAGGTTCCTTGGTTCTGGAGGCACCCTCCCGAATCCCCCTACCCCACCCCCCTTCTCTCCCGGCCCAAAAAGTACCCCCCCTCAAACCCCGCCCTATCTTTTTACTTTCAAAGAGGACTCATGTCATGTTTATAATAATGGGTAAATCTGATGAGAAAAAGACCTAACCTCCTCTCGACCTCTTTTTTTGGCATCACACCTACTGTCACATGACTCCAGACATTTATGTTGTTAACTGGTATCACACTCGTTGTCACATGTCTTCAACATTGTAATGTTATCATATCATATCACATCTGTTGTCATATGATATCACATCTGTTGTCACATGTCTTCAAACATTGTAATGTTATCATATCATATCACATCTGTTGTCATATGTCTTCAACATTGTAAAGTTATCATATGATATCACATCTGTTGACACATGTCTTCAAATATTGTTATGTTATCATATGATATAACATCTGTTGTCATATCATATCACATCTGTTGTCACATGTCTTCAACATTGTAATGTTATCATGTGATATCACGTCTGTTGACACATGTCTTCAAACATTGTAATGTTATCATATGATATCACATCTGTTGACACATGTCTTCAAACATTGTAAAGTTATCATATGATATCACATCTGTTGACACATGTCTTCAACATTGTAATGTTATCATATCACACTTGTTGTCACGTGCCTTCAACATTGTAATGTTGTCATATGATATCACATCTGTTGTCACATGCCTTCAACATTGTAATATTATCATATGATATCACATCTGTTGTCATATCATATCACATCTGTTGTCACATGTCTTCAAACATTGTAATGTTATCATATCGTATCACATCAGTTGTCATATCATATCACATCTGTTGACACATGTCTTCAAACATTGTCATGTTATCATATCACATCTGTTGTCACATGTCTTCAAACATTGTAATGTTATATCATATCACATCTGTTGTCATATCATATCACATCTGTTGACACATGTCTTCAAATATTGTAATGTTATCAAATCATATCACATCTGTTGTCACATGTCTTCAAACATTGTAATGTTATCATATGATATCACATCTGTTGACACATGTCTTCAAACATTGTAATGTTATCGTGTGATATCACATCTGTTGACACATGTCTTCAAACATTGTAAAGTTATCATGTGATATCACATCTGTTGACACATGTCTTCAAACATTGTAATGTTATTATATCATATCACATCTGTTATCATATCATATCACATCTGTTGTCACATGTCTTCAAACATTGTAATGTTATTATATCATATCACATCTGTTGTTATATCATATCACATCTGTTGTCACATGTCTTCAAACATTGTAATGTTATTATATCATATCACATCTGTTGTTATATCATATCACATCTGTTGTCACATGTCTTCAAACATTGTAATGTTATCATATCATATCACATCTGTTGTCATATGTCTTCAACATTGTAAAGTTATCATATGATATCACATCTGTTGACACATGTCTTCAAATATTGTTATGTTATCATATGATATCACATCTGTTGTCATATCATATCACATCTGTTGTCACATGTCTTCAACATTGTAATGTTATCATGTGATATCACATCTGTTGACACATGTCTTCAAACATTGTAATGTTATCATATGATATCACATCTGTTGACACATGTCTTCAAACATTGTAAAGTTATCATATGATATCACATCTGTTGACACATGTCTTCAACATTGTAATGTTATCATATCACACTTGTTGTCACGTGCCTTCAACATTGTAATGTTGTCATATGATATCACATCTGTTGTCACATGCCTTCAACATTGTAATATTATCATATGATATCACATCTGTTGTCATATCATATCACATCTGTTGTCACATGTCTTCAAACATTGTAATGTTATTATATCGTATCACATCAGTTGTCATATCATATCACATCTGTCGACACATGTCTTCAAACATTGTCATGTTATCATATCACATCTGTTGTCACATGTCTTCAAACATTGTAATGTTATCATATCATATCACATCTGTTGTCATATCATATCACATCTGTTGACACATGTCTTCAAATATTGTAATGTTATCAAATCATATCACATCTGTTGTCACATGTCTTCAAACATTGTAATGTTATCATATGATATCACATCTGTTGACACATGTCTTCAAACATTGTAATGTTATCATGTGATATCACATCTGTTGACACATGTCTTCAAACATTGTAAAGTTATCATGTGATATCACATCTGTTGACACATGTCTTCAAACATTGTAATGTTATCATATCATATCACATCTGTTGTCACATGTCTTCAAACATTGTAATGTTATCATATGATATCACATCTGTTGACACATGTCTTCAACATTGTAATATTATCATATGATATCACATCTGTTGTCATATGATATTACATCTGTTGACACATGGCTCAAACATGTATGCTGTCAAATCCTATCACACTTGTTGTTATACGGCTTCAAACAAGTGTACAGTCATATGACATTACAACTGTTCTTACATAGCTCCAAACATGTAAATTGTCATATGACATTACACCTGTTGTCATATGGTTCCAAATATGTACTTTGTTATAATACATTACACCTCTTGTCACATTGCTCCAAACATCCAAGTTGTCATATGGTATCACACTTCACACGTGTCACCATTGATGATTCCTAATAGATTGTTACCTCAATGCCATTTACTTTTAACACTTCAATTAGGCTTGAGTTTAAACCGCTTTTACATTTTATAATTTATTTTGTGCTGTGATAGAAGTTGCATATACTTGTGAAGATTAAACACGGTATATAGAGAGTTTTACAGACGTCCTAAAGATCGCAGTCGTTGGGAAATTATTTTTTTTTATTATACGGAGTTGGTCGTGTTTGGTGCTCCTAAGTGTTCCTGTTGGTTCCATTGTTCTATGTGGGAACGTGAATTTACCTACTTTGATTAGCAAAGACCAGGACGCTTATCCTTCTGGATATTCTGGTCTTATTTTAACTAAAAAATCGAGAATTCAGTCTGTTAATATTTTGCCCTGTTTATGTCGAATATGGATTTTAATTTTGCTTACATATCGATATATTATGAAAACATCATCGGTTTCTAATTCAACATGAAGTCTACTCCGGGTCTCCATAAATAATTTCGCTTTGTTTCGGGTTAATTAACCTGTAGTCAGTCAATGAATAATTCCATGTGAATAATTGTGTTATTGGTCTATTAAAGAATGCGAACAGGATAACCACGATAGTCATTATGTACGAGAGATCAACAGAATGTGACGTAACATATACAGTAAACGTCGGATAAGTCGAAGTGGATGGGACCAAGTAAAATATTCGACTTATCAGATGGTTCGACTCAACCGTGTTTTTGGTCTATCGCCTGTAATCGAGACATCGTATATTTAAACTGACCCTATTTTCGACGATCGTGTCTGATAGCAAGGTATTGATGAAAAGAACAAGACAACATCTCTTTTTTATAATAACAATATTTTTTTTATCAAAATACAAATAAATCGTAGGTTAAGGACATTTACTGTATTCATCATAGTCACAAACACGTGGATAATGCATACAAGATTGAACAAAAGACGCACGTTACACTGGGTACTTCGTGAAAACAATACTTAAAGATATACATGTACACATATTGTACTCACATTTATAGTATTTGGAAATAAAACAACTCACGGGCAAAAAGTAAACATGAGATGTTTTATTTCAATGGCTGTTTGATCGCATAGTTCTTGGTTAAATGAGATAATTACCAGTGCACCTGTATAAACAAAATGATTAGATGGTCGATACCGTGAAGTTACATTGCGCACGTAGGCCTGTTGCCACCGTTACGGCTGACCGATCACACTCGTTACCGACCAGGAAAATTTACCCGAGACAACGTGGCATCTGAATGTTCGACACAAACATGGAATTGTTTGTACGTTCGACTCATCCGATGTATCCGACTCGTGCGTGTTCGACACATAAGCTCTTCTATATTTATTGAGCAATTGAATTTCATCCGGGTTTACAATAAAAATAATGTGTATATGAATGTGTTAGTACGGAGCCCGTTAACTGACATGCTCCATACTTATTTTATTTCGAAAAAACGAAATAATATTTCGAAAAAACGAAATAAAATATTATTTCGATAAAACGAATTATTATTTCGAAAAAACGAATTAATATTTCTAATAAACGAAATAATATTTCGATAAAACGAAATAAAATAAGTATGAAGCATGTCAGTTAACGGGCTCCGTATGTTAGCAATATTTTTTAAAAAACACACATATGTGTGTGTGTATAAAGTAAAACCGATCCCAAACGCACCTATTGATCTAGTTTCTATTGCAGCGGCAGGTCTATAGATTCTTTGTGGAGTTGTTCTTCTATCGAGTGTGGGTACACGTCTCGGATTGTTTGCAGTGAAGACACCACGTTTTGAAATATCATACCGTTGTACTTGTTTTTGCTATTGGATCTGAACCCAATGGTGCGTCTTGGACGTAACAGTGACTAGGCTGAATCTTATTGAAAATTGATTGATTGTTTCACATTGTCCAAACCTTGTCTACTTTT